CCCCTCCCCAGTCGCCCCCTCCCCACCTCTCCACCCCCTACCTCCACCCCCGGTCCTGCCCCCCCCACCACCACCACCACAACCTCCTCCTCCTCCTCCTCCAACCCACAGCCGCTCACCCTCCAGGTCCTCCGCCTCGGCAAGCCTCAGTTTGCGCCCACTGTGGGAGGTGCTCCACTGGTGGATCCCCATGTTCCTTTGGAGCTGAGTCACGCAATGTATGCCGATGTGGCAGGTGAGAGCAAGGCCGTCGACTCGTTGCGATCCATGGGCCTCTCGCCTATGATGGCTCTGCCTGTCAGCTCGGCAGAGGTCTTGCTCGGGGAGACTCTCATGTGCTTTGTCTCCTTCCACAACTCGGGCTCGGCTCCGCTGGCGGATGTCGCCATCAAGATCGAGCTGCATACAAAGACTCAGCCGTACTCGCTGGTCGACAACGCCGCTGCTCCGCTGCAGCAGCTGCAGGCTGGCCACTCTGCCAACTACCTGGTCAAGCACGAGGTGAAGGAGCTCGGCCGCCACATGCTCCGCTGCTCGGCCTCGTACGTCCATGTCTCGGGCGAGCCGCGCGTCGTCCCGGCAAAGTACAAGTTTGAGGTCATCAACCCGCTCTCCGTCACCGTCCGCATCCCGCACCACGGCGACGCCCTGTTTGTCGAGGCTGAGCTGGAGAACGCCACAGACGTCCCGCTCTTCATCGACTCGGTCACCCTCGTTCCGGCACCCGGCCTCGCTTGTCTCGACGTCAACACCCAGTTCGACCCACCCACTGCGCTCGTCGCCTCAGAGTCGTCGCTGGCCCAGCTGGACTTTGACGCCCTCATGGAGGCGCCTGTTGACAGCGACTTTCTCAAGCCCGGCTGCGCCCGACAGTTTCTCTACCGCCTCACGCCGGCGCCGGGGAGTGGAACTCTGCTCCGTACTGTGACCAGCGTCGGCAAGCTTGATATTGTGTGGAAGACAGGGTTTGGCGAGGCCGGCCGTCTGCAGACCTCGCAGCTCGCCCGTGCACTTCCACCGGCACCAGGCCTCGCCATCGAGATTGACGAGCTGCCGGACGTTGTTGCTGCCTGCTCGCCGTTTGTGGCTGTCCTCAAAGTCACAAACGAGTCGCCGGCTCCGGTTGCGTTGCGGCTGCATGTCGCCAAGGCTACCGACGCCGCTATCGCCCTCGACGGCGTCTCGGGCACCGCCTATGGCGAGCTCCGTTCCGGCGCCTCGCTCCGCATCCCACTCCATCTCTTTGCCACTCGTCCAGGCATGCACCCGCTCCGCGGCATCCACCTCGTCGACACCCACACCGGCAACATGTACGAGGCTCGTGACTTGGCGGTCATCTTCGTCGAGCCGCCGCACGCCGCGCCGTCGCACGCGCCCTGACTCGCGACCTCTCCGTTTACGGCTGCAGCTACTTTTCTTCTTCCGAAATCGCAGCGGGAGCGGAACCCAGTGGAGCGCCCGCTCGTCAAGCACATGCCGCTTGCCAACGCTCTTAGCCCGCTTGGCAAGATGGGCTTCGACGAGCTGGGGATCAAGGTTGACCACCCGCTGGCTATCCCAGTACTTGACCATGTCGAGCTGCTGCAGCGTGTCGGCCACGTCCTCGGCCTTCATGCCGGTGACACGGACAAGCGTGTCGAGCGAGACTGCCGGATGTGGCGGGAGCGCAGCGGCCATAGTCAGATCGTCCAGGTCGGCGTCGTCGACGTCGGCCAGCTCGCTGTCATTGCCCGCAACCGCCGCAGCCGCCTTGGCCCGGAGCGCAGCGACTCTTGTCCGCGGCAAGACCGAGATGTCCCTGTCGAGCTTGTCCGAGCCGGCCACCGCCGGCCCGGCGGGTGCGCCCGCTGCCGACTTGCGCGGCGTCGCCGCCGACCGCACCCTGTTCATCAGCTCCACCGCCGGCGACGCCGTCCGCCCGCGCCCACCGCCGCCGCCGTTGGCTCCCGTCGGCGTTCCGGGCGCCGACGACGACTGCGATGCCGAGTGCATCTTGCGCGCCGCCGCCAGCAGTCTCATCTTGCGCCCACGCTCCTTGTCAGCGCCCGTGACAAGGACGGCCTCGCCGGTGACAAGCGGCACAAGCACGTCGAGTACCCGCTGCCGCCAGTACGCCCGGTACGAGAGGAGACCGAGCTCGGAAAGCGGCTTCTCCGGCGAGCCGGGCTTGCCCTCGACCCGCGAGAGGAGGTACGAAAAGTCGATCAAGAACTTGCCGTACCCGCGCCGCTGGTAGCACGGCAGCGTCATGATGCACGCCACATTGTAGTCGTTGGGCGAGAGCTTCTCCTTGGAAAAGTAGCCAATGACATGCCAGCCATACGCATCCATCCGCGTCAGTACGTAGAAGAGGAACGGCTCCACGTCGTAGTACAGGGTTTTGTGGTCGAGAAAGAGCTTGGCGAGGAGGCAGAGGTTCTGGCAGTAGATCCTGTCCTTGGCGCCATCAACCTCAAAGACCGAGAGCTCACCCGACCGGTAAATCTCGTTGCCCGGTGGGTGCTTCAGCTGGCACTTGGCGGCGTGCCGGATAAGCTGGCTTTCACTCTTGAGGTAGGTGAGGCAGAACTCACAGAGGTACAGCACGCCCTTGCGGGTGTACTCTTGTGGATACGGGGCAAAGAACCACGTCCCGATCTCGTACTCGCCAATGACTACAACCTCAATGTTCTTCATCTTGCCATGGTGGATGCCACCGCCCGATCCGCCGCCTGTCGCCGATCCAGACCCCGTCGTCACTAGCCGCGACGACGACGAGCCGCTCGTTCCCCTTCCACCTCCACCGCCACTCCCTCCGCCACTCCCGCCAATCGCTCCGCCACTCCCGCCACTCCCGCCACTCCCTCCGCCGCCGCCACCACTCCCTCCGCTTGCCATTCCCTTGACCCGCTCTACCGCCGCATGGATGCCCTTGCTCTCCTCGCCAGCCGTTCCTCCTGCCTCGTCCCCTCCGCCGCCTCTCCGGGCTGCTCGCTCGGACCGGGTCTGACTCGAGCTGCGCTTCCGCTTGCTCCCCACCCGGATGCTCCGTCGTCGTCCACCCCTCCCCCTGCTACTGCTGCTGCTGCTGCTGCGCGTCTGGGCATGGTGAGAGCGGTGGTGGTGTGTGAGCGGTGGGTGGCGGCGGGTGGCGGTGGCGGTCACGGCTGCTACCACTCGCTCGCACTGCCTCGATCAATGGCTGGCGATGCGGCAACCGATGCCAGCTACCACTCCAGACCGGGATCGTTTCATGTATGCCCATCATGTTAATCGTGTATGTTCATCATGGGTACGCACTATGCCACTCATCTCCCAGCACAGGGCAATGGCTGCGGTTACACCATGGTGGCATCCATCTCGAAAAACACAGACACGCTCTCCACGCTCTGCACCACATCATGCGGAATAAGGCCAAGCATGAACATGGTCCGCCGATTGTGGGCATGAAGAGTGCGGACGAGCGGAACGATGACGCCGAGGAGAAAGGCAAGGAAAATGACAAGCTGCGCTACGAGCGCAATCAACGGGAGCTGCCGCCACAGCCCGCGCCGCCCGACCGAGTCGACGTATAGCGCTGTCGAGAGCCGCAGCCCATCGAGCATCTCCTTGTCGTACAGGTCCTCGATCTCCCATAGCGGCCGCAGCTCAGGGGTTAGCGCCTCTGGCCGCGCACGCGCAACAGCCCGCCCGCGCTTGATGTACTCGAGCACAAGCTGGCCCAGTCCCTGCGACGTCACGGTGTAGAGCAGCTCGCCTTCGCTGCGACAGAGCGATGCATTGCGCCGCAGGCATGTCCCGGGTGCCTGCAACCAGCTCTGCTCCGGAATTTTGAAGCTGTTGTGTCGGTTAAGGTGAAGATACTGCTCAACTGTCCGGAACCGATCCAGCGCACCCTCGAGCAGCTCACGCGTCGACGCTTGTTCGTCTCCGAGTGACATCCACACCGACTCAGGCAGCGGCAGCGCCACCATCTCAACCCACGGAAGGACGTCGAATGGAAGTATCACACTCGAAAACTGGTCAAGGACAACATCGTCCTCCAGCATGAGCTCGATCGCAAAGTCGCGCACGTCCTCGCTGAGCGCGAGCCGCAGCCCGCCGCGCGCCGTCGCCGTCGACACGTTCGCCATGTACTGCAGCTCCACAAGCGAGACGAGCGAGAAGCCGAGAACAATGACCAGTCCCACCATCGCCCCCAGCACCAAGCGCTGTCGCGTTTCGACACTGTCACGCCCGGCCGTTTTCGCCGCAAGCTCGACCACGCTCTTGCCCTTTCGCTTTGTCTTCCGCCGCTCGGCCTCGACCTCGCTAGCGTCAGATCTCTCACGCGAGGCAAGCGGACGCGCAGTTGCATCCACCACAACTACATCTGGTCGGAACCCGACCCGCCGCTTCTCGCGCACATCTTCATGGAGCTCATCCTGCTCCGATCCGCTCGTACTAGACGCAGACAGCGTCGACGACGACGATGACGTGCCCACCTTGGCCCCAGAGTCCGATAAGCCTGACGACGACGAATCGGTCCTCGTCACAACCTTGCGGCTATCAGACGAGGCTTCAAGCGATGCCGAAGACACTTGCGACAGCGGCGACATCGGCACCGGTACCGCCACAAGCGGCGGTGGGGTGGAAATGAGGCTTGGCGATGGAAGCGCCCAGCTTGCCGGCGACGCCGCCTGCACCGCCACGTTCGGCACGGTGTCGACACATTGCTCGTCACTACTCTCCTCGCTTGACGCTGTGCTGTCATCAGCAGAGCAACTCGCGGACAAGATCATACTCAGCTCCGACGACGACGAGTCCTCATCGATAACATCGTCGACCTCGGTCTCGGCGCTAACATCGGTCTGCGCCCGTGATCGGCGACTCTCCCGGACCAGTATCGACACAGCAGACTTGGGCATGGCGAGGAAGACCGCAACCGTCCGCCTCCGCCGCAACGAGGTCTGCCTGAACGCCGGAAACACCACCACGCCGATGACCACCAGATGGAGACCAACAAGGAGACCGGTGAGTGAGCACACCACCACAGTCGACTGCTGCATCGATCCCTCCACCATGCGATCCTCCAGACTAAGCGCGTGCTCGAACGCCCGCCGCAGCGACTTGCGCCCGTTGAACATCACAAACATGGCCATGTCGCTCGTCCCGATCCCGTCCTCCAGCTCGTAGTCGCTCGCATCAGCAGCTGCAGCGCTGCTGGTATTACGCACTGCGTAGTCGCCAGACTCGATCCTTGCGCTCACGACCGTCAAGTAACGCTCTGCCACGTCTGCAAACAGCTCAATGGCTTCGTCCAAGTTGTACCCACCGGCAGTCATCCTGAGCTTGCGCTTTGGTGCTGCTGGAAAAGACTCAAACATGGCATCGACGCCGTCAAAGTGGTAGATCGCAACTTGCGGCGCGCCACCGTTGAGCTTGTCCAGCCGCGCGCCGGGATCGTACAGTCCCGACGTGTCCGCCAGTCGCCCGTGGTAATACCGCATGTTTGCTGTAGCCGTCGCAATCCGCTTCGTGAGGGTGGCCAGCGACCGGGGCGAGTTGTCCACAAACGCCGTATCAAACGTCATCAGCGCGTTGAGCTCCTTCAGCCGCGGTACCATCGCGCGCCACACACTCGATGCATTGGCCTCGGTCGCGTAACGCACCGCAAGTCCCCGCTCCAGAACATGCAGCGACTGGATCGCCGACACTGTCCGCGACATCGACTGTAGCCGCAACGCCGCCCACTCGGCCCGCGGCGGCTTGAGCTCGGCCTCGGCCAGGAGCATGACCGACGCTATGTACACGGCAATGCAGAGTGCGGCAACCACAATGGTGAACGCACACAGCCGCCGCTGCAGCCGCGTGATCGACGCCGTCGTCTTGCCCCGCAGCGCGCGCAGCGCAATCGCCACATCCGACTCGTTGCGCGCCGCCCGCCGCCGGCTCAGCAGCCGCCCACGGCTCGACGCTACCATCCGCTGCTCGGTCGCTGAGACAAGCGACGGCGCGCCGTCGGAAGCCCGTTCGTCAACGGCATCAAAACTGGTCAACGACGACTTGCTCGCACCCTTGCTCGCACCCTTGCTCGCACCCTTGCTCCTTGCAGACAGCTCGCTCCCTTGCGAACCACCGCGCCGCAGAACGTGCTTGCCGGTCGTGCCCGAATCAAATGACTCAAACGGCGAGAGGAGGCCGGCAATTGAATCGGTCCGCGCTGACTTGCGTCGCGTTATTGATCCAATACTTCGAGGGCTGCCGCCCAATCGTCCACGCCCGATTCCTACCCGCGGCGCCGTAAGTGGGAGCAGTGCGAGCTTGACCGTTCCGCTCGTCACCTCGGACGCAACAACAAGAAAGCAGGTCGAGCTGTGTGACCGCGGATGCTGATGCGACTTGAGTAGCGCCAAGCCCTCGCCAGGCCCAGCATGATCGCTCGCCGGAAGCATTGGAAGTGGCGCACCCGACAGGCTGCGTGCCGCCATCTGTTTCATCGCCAGGAGCTCTTCGTCGTCGACAACCCAGCACTCGACCGGAGCATGGCTCGCCGCGCCTGCCGCCTCAAATACCCGCTCCGCCCGCCTTTCCGTCGCAGCCGCAATCGTTGCCGCCACGGTGGCTGTCTCGACATTATCAGGGAGCGCAAACACGGTGTCGAGTCTCTGGCCGAGGAGCTCGGCCTCGGTGCGGCCAAACAGCGCACTGGCCGATGCCGAAGGACACGCCAGGATCTGCCCCAGGGGCGAGACAGTGAGTTCCATGGCATGCGCGTCGAGCGGCTCCAGCAGGACCGCGCCAATCGCAAGCGGGCCGCGACCAAACGCATACATGCCCGAAACAACAACCTGACGCGCCGTGCCACTCCGGGTGTGAACGCTTGCGGTCTCCGGAATGAGCTCGGCGTCGGGTCCGCCCGGTGCAGCCCGCGCCAACCAGCCGAGCACGTCAGAGACCGGCCCGGCGAGCACGTCTGTAAGCGCCTGCCCGGCGAGCGTCTCGGGCCGCACTCCGTTCATGTGCTCGACGGGACCAACAACATCGACGACCACTCCCGACCGCGCGCAGTAAAGCGTGACGCTCGCGTCCGCCGGTGGCACCGGCCGCACAATCATCATGATCTGACTGCTGGTCGCATGTGGAACGCGCGCAAAGGTTACCAGCGCCGAGAGTGCGTCACGTTTCCACCGCTTGATATTGAGCCTCATCGGCACCGCATCCGATTCGGCTGCTTTCTCCAGCAGCGCGTCGGCAGACTTGCTGAGAGGGCCAGCAAGGAGCACCGCGCCAAACGGCTTGCGGAGTAGCTCCTCGCGGCAGGACGCCGTGGTGTGACCCAAGAGCTTGCGTGCGTGAGCGTTTGCCGAAACGACTGTGCCGTCGTCGGCAAGGGTGATGAGCGCGTCGACGGCGCCGTTGATCATAGCCAGTGCTTCGCCGGCTACAGGCTGCTCGCCGTCAACCTCGGCGGTCAGGTCTTCGAGCCGCTTGGCCTTGGCCAGAAAGCGCGCCGCGAGGACCGGCTTGTTGGAGACCTCGTCCAGAAAGTTGGCATATCCTGCCAGCAGGCCTGGCGCGGTCGGATACTTGCGGACCAGTTGGCGGTAGTAGTTGTTGGCGGTTCGCTCCGACTCGTCGATCCGCGCAATGAGCTTGGCCGACCGCTCTAGGAACGCTCGGTCTGATCGCATTAGCGTCCGCCAGAACGTACCTACCGCCCGCAGCGCCGAGTTGTGGTGCATCTTGGCCGTCCGCAGCATGCTCTCAAACTGTACGTACGAGACGAGGTCCATCGAGCCTGTCGTTAGCCCTCGCGCGAGCTGCGCCTGCTCCACCTCGCGCATCTTGCGGTATCGCGAGAACCGGAGGTCGACCCACGCTGGGAGCTTGAGAGACTTGTCGAGGTACGCGTGCGCCATCGCGGTGTTGCCTACGCTCGCAAGGAACCGCACGTAGCAAAGAACCACAAAGACCGAGTTAGGAAACTGCTCAAAGCCGGCGCGGAAGACGGCGTTGGCGGCGTCGACGTTGCCGCTCGCCAAATGCTCGCGAACCACAAGCTCGACGTCGGTTGCCAGCCAGAAGTGGTACACCGGCTCGGATGGCGGCGTCGCGCTTGCTTCAGCGCCGATCGCGTTCGTCGAGTTGGCACGCCGCAGCCGCGCCAGCCGCAGGTACGCCAGCATACCGCCTGCCAGCAGCACAATCGGCCCAAGCGCCGCTGCCGTCACAAACACGCTGTTGCCGCCGGATCCCGAGCCGTCGTCGCTCGGTCTTCCGTTGGCCGAGACCGTGGCAAGCGCCATCGCACCCAGCCAGGTGAGTGTCAAAAATCCGCCTGTCCGTGCCAACTGCAGCCGTAGCCGGTACAACGCCATGAAGAGAACTTGCAGCACAAAGATGGCAAACATCGAGAGGCTGAATATAGCGGCAAGCAGGCCGGGATGATGGGCCGCTGTGGCAAAGGCGAACAGCAGAACGGTCTTGACCACGTGGGTGGCGCAATCGACCCGCGCGTGCGGCCGCGCAAGCAAGTGTGGTGCGTCGGGCGCGTCCTGAAAGTACACCAGCGAGAGAGCGGCCGTGGCGACGAGAAAAATCAGCGCAAAGAGGCCCGAGACTATGCGATAGACCGATACCTCGGCATCCCAGCACGCGACGGACGGGTAGTCGCGGAGGACCGCCGGCGATGCCTCGTAGTCGCAGGCGAGCGGCGTGAGCAGCACGCTCATGATCGGAATGTAGAGAACGGTGACAGCAAAGCCGACGGCGTACCGCAGCAGCCGCAGCGGCCAGACCTTGGACCGCGAGTGGTCACGAAGCGCGAGGCCTACATACGCCGCATCGAGCCCGGCGCAGATGAGCGCGGTGTAGACTACGAGATTGACGACACGAAAGGCAGCAAAGGAAGAGAACACCACCCTCAACGAGACAGCCGAGAGCAGCGGCTGGAGAGAGACCTCGGCCCATGGTCCCCACTCAAAGACTGGTGAAAAGGCAAAGGCTGCTAGCTGGCCAAACTCGATAATGAGGACGAGGATGGAGAAGATGGCCGTCGACGACGAGCGGGAGACGATGGCAAAGAGTGCATTGAAGGCAAACGTTTCAAGTCGAGCAAAGAGTCGAGCTCCGGATGACGAAGCACCATCGTCACCGCCACCCAGCAGAGCCCTGTGCGCATCATCGAGTTCCGACAAAAGTGATGTATCCACCGACGAGTCCGAGCATGTTGTTCTTGAGTTGGCCGAAGACACCCTACTGATAGAGCTCTCCATGTACAACCCGAACCGCACCAGAGCGTAGACAAGTAACTCCACCCACCATTGCCAATACCGCCACTACCGCGGCGGAGTGGCAGACAGGGCTTCTCGAACTATGTTTCCCACGTGACAAAAAAAAACATCCGAAGATTGCGTCACCCCCCCCCCCCCCCCGCGCACACACTCGGTCGCTTGGCGGCGGCTTCTTTCCCCTCTGCGCCATTCGGCTCGGCTCGACTCGCGCCACCGGCACACCACCCAACCCGCAAGTAGACCATGGCTTCGAGCGCGGCGAGCACGTCAACGGTTGTGGACGTGAGCCCCAACATTACAGCCGCCCGCGAGCAGGCCAAGGTACGTACCCTGCACTCTATCTCTTTCTCTGTGCTCTCATGGCACTCGTCGCCGTAATGGCTGCAGTGCCTGCTGTGGTGGCATTCTCTGGGTGGAAGGCGACCCAAAAAGTTTGGCCACCTTTTCCAGGCGCGCCTGGCGGGATACAAGGCCAATGCGTGGCCAGGGAGCAGACGAGATACTCACCAAACAAGCTGGCTCAACTTGGTCTTGTCTGGTGGGTGGTGGGTGTGACACGTGGTCGGCATGGGTGGTCGGCATGGGTGGACGAAGGCGGGAGATGTGGCTGGTGCCGTCGACGCTCTGCTCCTGCTGGAGCGTCAGCGGCGGCGGGCCGAGGACGAGGCGGCGGTCAAGGAGGTTGTTGTTGCGGTGGTGCAGGTATGCTTCGAGGCGGGCGACTGGAAGCTGCTGGCGTCGTCGGTGGTGCTCCTTGCCAAGCGGCGGTCGCAGTTCCCGCAGGCGATTGTCAAGATGGTCAACGAGGTGGTCGGCTACCTCGACCATGACTCGGTCCCGTCCGAGGCCTCGGCCATGCTGCTCGATACGCTGCTGGTGGTGTGCGAGGGCAAGATCTTTGTCGAGGTCCAGCGGGCGAGGCTGACCCGCCGCCGGGCGCTGGCCAAGGAAGCTGCCGGCGAGCTGAAGGAAGCTGCCAAGGAGCTGCAGGATGTGCAGATCGAGACGCTCGGCTCGATGGAGAAGGAGGAGAAGCTCGACTTTATCCTCGAGCAAATGCGGCTGTGCCTCGGCGCTGGTGACTGGCTCCGGGTCCTCATCATTTCGCGCAAGATCCATCGCAAGGTCTTTGCCCGCAACGCCTTTCAGCCGCAGAAGCTCAAGTTCCACGAGCTGCTCATCGAGTACCACCAGCACGAGGGCAACTTCCTGCATGTCGCCCGCTCGCTCCTGGCCATGTACAACACGCCGTCCGTCCTCGACTCGGCCGACGCCGCGTGGAAGGCGGTCCTTGCCCGTGCTGCGGTCTTTATCGTCCTCGCCAAGCAAGCGCCCGACCAGCAGGACCTACTCCATCGCATCAAGAAGGAGAAGCGTCTCGCCGAGGTCGGCGACGTCTACGACCTCGTCAACCTCTTCACTACCACCCAGATCATGGACTGGCCGCAGGTCGAGTCGCAGTTTGGCGCCGCGCTCCGCGAGCTGCCCGGAGGCCTGTTCAGCGACTCGGAGGACGGCGCGGCCCGCTTTGAGCACCTCCGCTCGCGCGTCATCGAGCACAACATCCGCATCATCGCCAACTACTACTCGCGCATCGCCCTCCCGCGCCTCGCCGCTCTCCTCTCGCTCAACGTTGCCGACGCCGAGTCGCGCCTCTGCGACATGGTCGTTGACGGCGCCATCTACGCAAAGGTCGATCGCCTCGCCTCGGTCGTCTCGTTTGTCAAGCCGGCCACTTCCGACGAGATCCTCAACGAATGGGCGTCGGACGTCGGCAAGCTCCTCTCCATCGTCGAAAAGTGCAACCACAACCTGCAGAAGGAGAACATGATGCACAAGATCGACCAGTAAACGGCCCGCCGTGACTGCATGTTACTTTTACGCCTTGGCCTCGGCCTCGCGCTTCCGCTTCACGCCCGCCACGCTGCGCATGCCGTGGCTCGCCGACGCGTCTTCCACGACGTCAAAGACCTCGCGGACCGCCATGGTGGCATACGTCGACGACGGGAGGGTAAAGGCAAGGAGCCCCGCATACGCCGCGCCGGCAAACGGCTCGGTAGCCACGCCGTCGAGCGGCGCGATGGCAACTGGGTCGATGAGGTTCGCCGCCATTGCAGCCGCCGCAGACTCGGTGTCGCCGATGCGGGTAGCCTCGGCCGCAGCCTCGTCACCGCTGAGAGGCGTGTAGTACAGGTGAGTGTACGAGACCTCCGAGGGGATGCAAATAAGCGGTCGGTACGCACCCGGTGCGTCGAACGGCGTCCCGCGCCATTGCTGCTTGGAGAGATCGATGCCCTCGGCGGCGGTAAAGGTGGCGTACAGGCCGCCGATGTCGTGGGTCGGGTACTGCACCGCGTGGCCAGGAACCGGAAGCACCACGTCGGCGAGACTCACGCCCTCAAGGTCGGCCTCGGTCGCCAGAACCTTGACCGGCACGTCCGAGGCGCGGATGTGCCCGCCGCGCGACGAGCGAGTGTGCCCGCCACGCCCACGCCCGCGCCCGCGCCCGCGCCCGCCACGTGCCGCCGCAGCCTTGATCATCGCCTCGTGCTTGACCTTGTCGACCACTAGGTCGCCGACAACCGGCGCCGCGCCGTACTGCTCCAGTCGCGCGGTGGCCATAGCGTTGAAGACCCACGACTGGTAGGCATGGACGTACATCGACTGCATGTTGCGCGGGAGTGCCTGCAGCGCACCCATCGGGTTGGTCGGCCCGGCGTCGGCCACGCCCTGTAGCAGCTTCTTCTCCAGCGAGCGCCACCGCGGCATGGCCTCGGCTGCGCCGGCCGCGTCGCCTCCCTCGAGGAACTGCGCTTTGGCTGCCAGAATCTGCGGCGTGTCCTTGGAGAGCGAGGGCTTGAGAATGAGACGGATGGCACCGGCGAGGTCGCCGCCGAGAATCTTGCGCCCAACCTCGTGCGTCCGCACCTCGTGCGTCCCGAACCGCTGTTCACCAAAGTAGTTGATAAAGCCGCGCGTCGAGAACGAGGTGACCGCCGCATCGAGCGCGGCGATGACGCCGCCGTGGCCGGGATCGTCGGCGCTCGTCGGCGAGTTCGCTGCCGGCCCAGCAATGTCGCGCACAACAATGGAGAACCGGTTACCGTCGAGCATGCCGAGCGAGAGCGGCTTGGCCACGTATGAGTAGTTGCCGAACCGGAGGAGCGCCCGCGACGGGAGCACGTCGTGCGACCGCTCGGCCTTGGCCTGGAAAGCCTTAACATCCTCAGCCGGCACAGCCTTGAGCGTAATCCACTGCGAGGTGACCGCGTGCTTGTCCTTGGTCCCCGCCACCCCAATGCGGTTCCCCTTGATGTGCAGGCCGGCGCCGATGACGTCTGTCATCTTGTGCAGATCCATGCCGTACTTGGTCACCACGCACCGAAGGAACTTTGGCCGCGACTTTGGCCACCGCGTGTTGAACCGCGAGTTAGCCTTGCCCTTCATGGCCGTCACCACCATCCCGCCGCCGCCGCCCACCGACGTCGCCAGCAGTGATCCAAAGTGGTGGCGCACCAGCTGATGGACCTTGGTTCGGTCCTCCTTGGCCTCCAGCCGTGGCAGCTCAATGCCGTCCGGAAGGGTCACGCCCTCGCCGCCGGCGCGGACATACGCCTCGATGGCCGCAAAGTGCGCCTCGTCGCCGCCCGGCATCAGCGCCCGCAGCGCCGCCATTCCGGTCTCCACAGACGGTGCGCCCATGGCGGCCTCGACCTTGGCCGCCGCCGCCGCCGCCGGATCGTCCACCTCTTCGGTCGTGATCGCCGCCACGCCGTTCTTCCCCACCTCGGAGACCACAAAGTCTGACCACCGGACCTTCAGCACCCCGCGCGCCATGCGCGTCTCGCCCAGATGCGCCACAATGCCCACGTCCGCAGGGTCAGCCGGCTTGTGGGTCGGCGTAGCCTCCGCCACGACGCTCGATCCAGCCGCCGCCGCCGCCACCTTGGCCTCCTCGTCAGTCACGTTGGTCACCACATCCGTCGCCGCCTTGGTCTCGCCGGACAGCAGCTTAGTCTTCTTGGCAGCAGGGGGTTCGCACGACATGGCTGCTGTTATGTAGCTTCCAGAGTGCGGTGGTCCCCGCCCCCGCCGCCCTCCACCTCCCGCTCTAACCCCCCCCCCCTTCCACTACTCCTTCTCCTGCAACTCCTCCCTTCTTGGCTCCCTCTCCTTTCTCGGCCGGTCGTCCGATCGTTTGCTGCGGGCGGAGCAATCGGATGGATGGCATGCCATGCGGCCGAAGACATGGCGGTGCCCCCCCCCCCCCCCCCTCCCCTTCCTCCCGCTTACTTGAACAGAGACCATGCATCGGTGGCGCTGATCAATTTGGTATGCACGCACATCCGCATGTGAGTGTGATCAGTGATGATAGGGAGAGGGTAAAGATGATTGTCTGCACTCATGATGGCATGACTATCATCAGTGCCAGGGGAAGTGATGGCTATCGACTGGAGTGAGCCATCGCCAGCACAGCATGATCGAAGTTTGATCAACATATCCTGATCGACTGTACATGAGCCCATGTTCAGCCTTCTATGTCGGCTACCCCCCCCCCCCCCTCACTTCCCCTCACTTCCCCCTCCTCAGCCATGCAGAGCTGGTCAGGCTTCCTGCGGCCCTCAGGCCGACCACCCGCGCCCACGTACGAACACACACATCATCGCAACCACCTGTCGCAAGTAGTGCCCCCTCCCCCCCTTCTGGCTACATAAGACGTGTGACATACATCGGTTGTTATGGGTGGCGTGTTCGGCAAGAAGAAGGATGGTGATGGTGGGAACAAGTCCAACCACAACGACATGGAGATCACCGCCCATGACCGTGCCGTCCTCGACCTGAAGAACCAACGGGACAAGCTCGGGAGGCAGAAGAAGAAGGTATGCCCCGGGTAGGGCGGGGGGGGCGAAGGGGGGGGAGGGGGGGCGAGGGGGGGGGAGGGGACTCATGTTGTTGGTGGTCGTGGGCGTGGGCGTGGGCGTGGTCGTGGTCGTGGTCGTGGTCGTGGGCGTGGTCGTGGTCGTGGTCGTGGGCGTGGTCGTGGTCGTGGTCGTGGTCGTGGTCGTGGTCGTGGTCGTGGTTGTGGTCGTGGTCGTGGTCGTGGTCGTGGTCGTGGTCGTGGTCGTGGTCGTGGTCGTGGGCGTGGTCGTGGTCGTGGGCGTGGTCGTGGTCGTGGTCGTGGTCGTGGTCGTGGGCGTGGTCTTGCTCGGCTGGTGGCTGGTGGCGGGCGGCGGGTGGCATCGTTGCTTCGGCAGATGGCGGCCAACATGGATCGGCTGCAAGGAATGGCGATGGAGCTGGTGCGGAGCAAGCAAAAGACAAAGGCGCTGCTGGTGCTGAAGAAGAAAAAGGTGATCGTGTCAAACATGGAGAAGATCGAATCCATGCTCGACAACGTTCAGGAGCTCGTCGACTCGCTCGAGTTTGCCGCCCGCCAGGCAGAGGTCTTTGACTCGCTGCGGACCGGCGCCGACGCGCTCAAAGACATCAACGCCCAAATGGACATTGACGAAGTTGAGCGCATCATGGACGACACCCAGGAGGCCATCGAGTACCAGAACGAACTCTCCAATGCCCTCGCAGGCATCCTCCAGCCCGGTGAAGAGGAGGATCTCGAGGCTGAGCTCGACGCGCTCATCCTGGATGAGGCCGCAGACATGCCGTCGGTGCCTGTCGCTGAGCCCGGCGCCGACGGCATCGAGGAGTACTCGTACGACTCGGACGTCGGCGTGGTTCCCGCCCGCTCGTCTGCTGCCCGCTCCTCGGGCCGAGTCGCCATGGAGGCCTCGTAGCTGGTGCAGTAAAGCACGTCGCGTTCAATGGCTCTGCAACACGTCGCTGACCACCGCGCCGCCAGCAAGCGTTACCACCCTGTCGACGCGCGCAATCGTAGCCGGATTGTGGGCAATAATGACAACGGTGGTGTCGGCAAACGAAGACTCGAGCACTCGCCCAATGGCAGCCTCGCCGTCAACGTCGAGATGGGTGGCGTACTCGTCGAGAATGAGGACTGCCGGGCGGAGGAGGAGCATCCGCGCCAGCGCCAGTCGCTGCCGCTGGCCGCCGGAGAGCGCGCTGGCCCGCGCGCCAAGCGGAGTGTGGATGCCCTGCGGGAGGGCGTCGACAACTCCGGCCATGCCCACCGCGTCAAGCGCAGCAAACAGCTCGCTGTCGCTCGCGTCGGGCGCACCAAACCGCAGGTTCGCCGCCACGCTATCATGGTAGAGATAGACATCCTGCGAGAGCAGCGCCACCGACTGCGGCACCGAGGTGACATCAAACTCGCGCGCGTCGTCCCCGTCGTACATCACACGTCCGCGGCTCGGCTCGTACAGTCGCGCCAGCAAAAATGCCAGCGTCGACTTGCCTGCCCCGTTGGCGCCGACCAGCGCCACCGTCTGTCCGGGAGGGATGACGAGTGAAACGTCGCGGAGCGCCCAGTTGGTATCTTCGTCGCCGCCCCCGCCGTCGCTGCTGCTGCCGCCGTCGATGAGCACCTCGTCGCGAGTTGGGTACGCGAACCAGAGGCTGTCGGCGGTGAGCTCGCCGGAGAACGAGTCGAGGCTTCGGAGGCCGCGGCCAGCCTGCGCCTGCGCCTGCGCCTCGGTCTGCAGATCGAGGTAGGCAAAGACCTTGCGAAAGCAAGCCGCCGCCGTCGCCAGCTGAATGTTGACCGTGGTGAGGTTGGAGAGCGGGCCGATGAGCTTGTTGAGGTAGCCCGAGAACGAGAGAATGGTGCCGGCCGTGAGCGTGTTGGTGAACATGACAGACGACGAGAGCGCAAACACAATGCCGGTCCCGACCGAGACTGTCGCGCCAAGAACTGTGTAGAAGACGGTTTGCTGGACGCGGGCCGAGACCCGCGACTGGGCCAGCTTGGCCGACGCCGAGTCAAAGACCGCCGACGCCGCCGCGCCGCGGCCGGCAGCTTTGAGCGCCGCAAAGCCGTCGACGTCAAACGAGTCTGCCAGCGCGTTGTTCATCTCCGCGCCCGCCGCAAGTCCCTCCAGCCGCAGTCCGATGAGCCGCTTGCCCCACACAGTGGCAGGAATGAGGAAGAGCGGAAGGACGCCACCAGCCACCAGCGCCAGCCGCGGCTCGAGCGAGATGAGCCGCCAGACTGCAAAGCCGGCCAGCAGGACCTGGTACACAATGTCCGGCAGTGCCGAAGAGAGCGAAGCCTGTGCGCCGGCCAGTTGGTTGTTGAACAGGCTCATCAGTTCGCCCGCCTTGTTGTGGGTGAAGAAGCCGAGCGGGAGGCCGAGGAGATGATCATGAAGCCGCGATCGGAGATGAGCAGCGATGGCCTCGCCCACATCAGCCGCCACATACGCCCGCATGACCGAGAGCACCGCCGAGAGTGCCGACCATCCCGCAAATGTCAGCGCAGTCGTGACCAACTCGGTCGGATCGCCAGCCTGAGCTGCAGGCAGTGCCTTGTCCGTCAGTCGAGCGTAGAGCCCTGGCAGAGCTGCGTCGATGTACGCCATGCCCACAAGCAGCGCAGTGAGGAGGACAAACCGGGACCGCCACCCATCACACAGTACAAGTACGCGTCGTGCCACTGCCCAGCCGCTGGTCTCCTTGGCCATGATGGAGGTGGTGGGGGAGGGGGGGGGGGGGGGGGTGACGTGGTAGCCAGTACCAGTGCCTGTCGGCGTGGGTGAGGACTGAGGGCTAAGGGCTGAGGGGTGAGGGCTGTGGCTGCTGTCTCTGTACGACCTGGTCAGATACTGTCAGTGCGGCCATTGTCCCTTGTCAAACTATGGAGAGTATTGCAGGTGGTAGTGGACGAGGAGTTCCGACAGGATGTGTCGGTCCGGCTGCTGTGGCTACGATCATGTCATGGCTTGTCTGTTGGCTAGTGGCGGTGGTGGTGGCGGTGGCGGCTGTCGCCGCCGGTTGCCGGCTGTCACTTGGCACTCGTCCCTGTGGACATGGCCGACATGGGCGCGGGGGGGAGGGTACCAGTCACACCGCCAGCAGCAGGCGCACCAGAGACAGAGCTCATTCCTGCTGACGAGTTTGCCGCGATAGAAGCTGCGCTGATGGCGGTGGGCGAGCAGGAACAGCGGCAGCCGCCGCCACCGCCACAGCAGCCAAAGCCTCGGCCGCCGCCGCTGCAAAGTACGACCTTTTTGGGACACTCGTCACCATGGGACAACTGGGAGTCAACAGCCGCATATGCGCAGTCAATCTGCCCGCCGCCCACGCCTATGCACACTGGGTGGTTTCCGCTCGCTCCGTTTGTGGCCAAACATCTCGCCCCGTCTGCCGATCGGAACGGCCGGGCCCAGTGCGTGACTCTGCGGGTGGCAGAGCGCGACGATCTGGGACTACGGTTCAAGCTCATCGCTGGCTACGACGCCAATCTGGTGGCGTTCTGCAAGTTTATCGACGGTCGTACCTACGAAGCTGCAGACAAGTCGTGGTCGTTTCCGCTCCCGGCCTACACCTACGTCGCCGCTTACCTTCGGACCGAGCTCTGTCCAGCCATCAACGCCGATTTCGACGATCTCGTCACCGGCCCCCGCCGCTCCCACCCGAGCTAGTCGCCGCAAAGTCGGCCTACGAAGCCAAGGCTGTTGACTGGTCACGGGTGCCCGAGCCGCTGCGCTCGGTGCTGCTTCCGTTCCAGCGCGACGGTGTCGAGTATGTTGTCCGCCGTGACGGCCGCGCGCTCATAGGCGACGAGATGGGTCTTGGGAAGGGCGGCCGCCCGTCCGACTCTGTCCTAACGCCTTCTGGCTGGCGCAGATATGACGCGCTTGCACTCGGCGACAATGTCATCGGCTCGTCTGGCGCGCCGGTGGCCGTCACTGGCATCTTCCATCGCGGCGTCCTCGACCTTTTCAGAGTTGTATTTCACGACGGCGGCGCCGTCGTCGTCGACGGTGATCACCTGTGGGCGCTGGTTGGCCCGGCCCCAAGTGTGGTGTCCACCCGTGAGCTGGCCGCTGCGGTCACCGCCGGGTGTGACCTCGCCATTCCGGTCCTCTCAGGCCCGGCGCAGTTTACTCCGAGCACCGCCCGCAGCCCGCGTGATCTGGCGAGAGCGCTCCTGGATGAGGCAAGCCCATCGCGTCGCACGTCACACGCCGCGCTGTTTGCCAGCGTGGAGACCCGGACCGCGGTCTTGGGCGCGCTCGGGCTCGCCGGGAGCGGCGCATCAATGGCTACGCTGCCGACCGCAGCCGGCGCACGCGCCGCCGCAGACATCGCACTCTCGCTCGGCCGCCTCGCAGGCATCCACCCGCCGATCAAGCCGGACTCTTGTTGGCACGTCTGGGTGGCTCCTGCTACCTGCCGTGCCCGGCCGGTGGCGCGAGTCGAGCGCTGCGGATCTGGGCCCACCATCTGTATCCGGGTTTCTGCTCCCGACGCGCTGTACGTCACCGAGGCCTTTGCCGTCACCCACAACACGCTGCAGGGTATTGCGGTGGCGAGCTACTACTCGGCTGAGTGGCCTGCACTGGTCATCGTCCCGCCGTCGCTCAAAGATGTGTGGGCCGAGGCGCTGATCAAGTGGCATCCGCACTTGAACGAGTTCAACGTGACGGTTGTGCGGAAGCGGGGCGATAGCCTCGGCTCGAGCAGCAACGGCGTGACAGTCATGTCCTACGACGCCGTCCGCCACAAGATCGACGAGATGGCCGTCGCTGCGCCGCGGGTAGTCGTTCTCGACGAGTCGCAGTACATTAAGAACGCGTCGGCGCAGCGGACCCGGCTCCTGCTCCCGTACCTGACCCGAACCGCGTCGCGGGTCATCCTGCTGTCAGGCACGCCTGCACTCTCGCGGCCGCGCGAGCTGTTTACCCAGATCGCGGCCGTGGCGCCGCGGCTCTTTCCGTCGTACGACGCGTTTGCGCAGCGGTACTGCGGTGGTGTACCCAACGCTTGGGGCCAGTACAACGGCGCATCACACCTCGCCGAGCTGGCCCAAGTCCTCGGCGTCCACGTCCTCGTCCGCAGAGTCAAGAAGGAGGTGCTCGCCGAGCTGCCGGCCAAGCGGCGGCAGCTGGTCCACATTGTTCCGGCACAGCAGCAGCTGGCATCACTGCTTCGGGCCCGCGACGGGCTCAATGCCTCGTCCAGCGCCACCAACCGCGAAGAGCGCGATGAGGCCATGACCTTGTTCTACACCGCGACGGCCATGGCCAAAATCAAGCCGGTCTCGCGGTTTGTGGCCGACCTTGTCCGCGGCAATGTCAAGTTTCTCGTCTTTGCCCACCACGCGCTCATGCTCGACGCGCTCGCCGAGACCATCTCCTCGCTCGGCGCACGGTACATCCGGATCGATGCATCGGTCGACGCCGACAAGCGGCTGCCGCTGGTCAAGCTCTTTCAGACTGACCAGAACATCCAAGTGGCGCTCCTTTCGCTCACAGCCGCCTCGGCTGGGCTCACCCTCACAGCCGCCTCGCACGTGGTCTTTGCCGAGCTCCATTGGACGCCTGGCATGCTGCTGCAGGCCGAGGACCGCGTCCACCGCATCGGGCAAAGTACCCGGTCAACATACAGTATCTAGTCTGCCGAGAGTCGCTCGACGTGTCGATGTGGTCCTCGCTGGTCGCCAAGCTGTACAACCTGTCCAAGCTCGGCCTCGCCGATGACGAGCTGTCGTTCTCGAGTTCCGCGCTCCCGCCAGGCTCCGCTCCAGCGCCGGCCCGCGCCCGCGTCGCACCCAGTGAGGCCATCGCCACCGCCGACACGCCAGCCACCGCTGTCCGCAAGCTCAAGCGGACGCGGAAGAAAGCCAAGACCAGGCGCATCGGCGACGTTTCAGCCGCCAGGCTTCCGCCGGCGCGCTGCGCCCGTGCGCGCTCGCCCACAAGGCTCTTCGCCGAAGACTTTGAGCTGTCGTCCGACACCGATGATGGCCCACCGCCGCCCGCCAAGCGTCCTCGCCCCACAGCATCCGCAGCAGGTCGGCTGCCGCATGCCCCGGCTCGCTCTGCCGGCCCATCACCCCCTACCGTGTCCAAGTACTTTTGATGCGGCGCTGCAGCGCCTCCCATCCCCCGCCGCCATCCGCAAGCAAACCCAAGGCTGATGAAAATGCCATCCCTCCCCCCCCCCCACCCACACACACAATATATACATATATACATGTGTGTGTGTGTATGAAAACACGCACGGTCGGCGCCAATGCCCTTTAGTGCGCGCGCGGTGCGTATTTGCGGTCGTCGTGCCAGGAACCCGCCAGTGACCGCCGGGGCTGGGCTTTCGGCGGGCGGATTGGCGCCAAGTCGGTTGCACAGGTAGAGGACCGACGACGGCAGCAGAGGCAGTGGCAGCGAGGCAGGGGCAGCAGCACTTGACGCCGTGCGGGCCATGTCGAACCACAACCCTGCCCTGCTCGATGACGAGTTCTACCAGCACCTGCGGTCGCTTGAGGCTGTGTATGTGCAGCGGCAGAGCGCTGTGCAGGGCGAGTGTGAGCGGCTGCGGCAGCACGCCGAGTCGGTCGAGTCAGAGCTGGCGGCGGCGCGGCGACGGATCCGGGAGCTGGAAGTGGCCTTTGAGGAGGCACTGAACGAGAACCAGGCGCTGGTTGACTCGCGCAACGCCGCCATGGACAAGTACAACCAGCTCCGCGGCGCAACCATGCATCTGGAGCAGTTCAAGGCCGCCATCACAAACATGGTGGCCGACTCGGCGGTCGCGCCGCAGGCCTCCCAACACGCCCCGCGCGCACCACCGGCCGCTGCCGCCGCAGCCTCCGCCGGCAGCCTCCACAACGCATCTGCCGATCATCTCCCGCCGCGGCCGTACCCGGCGGGCGCCGGATCGTCGTTTATGTCTGGATCGTACGCTCCGCACTCGGCGGCGTCGCCCATGCAGCCCTCGCCGTACGGGCAGCAGGCACACTCCTCGCCGTCACCGGCGCGACAGGACGAAGAGGAAATTGATGCTGCTGCCTTTTACCGTAAGGTCAAGGCTGCGGTCTCGCCGGAAGAGTTCAAGACCTTTGCCGCCAACATCCGCCGGCTCAACAAGGGCGAGCAGTCGATCGAGGACACACTCGACAGCATGCGCGGTGTCCTGCGCGACCCGGAGCTCTTTGCCCAGCTCCACACACTCATCCGACAGGCCGTTCTCGCTGCCGCTCGTGAAGCATCATCGGTCGGCGTCTCGCAGATCTCCATGGACAGCTCACGCATCTCATAGTAGTTCCTTGCCCTGTTTTACGCCTCGGCCGGCTTGGCCATGTTCACAAACGCGCCATCGGTAGCCCGCGTCGCCAGCCACGAGTCACTGACAGCCTCCATGTTGAGCGGGCCGTAGATGTGTGGGAAGAGGACGGTCTCCAGCTCGGCCGGCGAGTCGGTCTCGCCCACCGGCGCCGGCGCCTCAAACACCACCTCAGCCGAGCACTTGTCCACATCTAGCTGGAGGACAACAATCGGCTCGGCGATGCCGATCAGAAACCGGTTGGCCACCGTCAGCATGGTGTCCAGCTCCGAGGTGCAGTGGATGAAGCCGCCGTCTGTGAAAGGAGGATCGTCGTGGTGAGTGACTGAGCGGGCGCAGGGCCCCACGGATACGCAGCACTTTTGAACACAATTGTGGACATGCCCATGCCCATGAACATGGGCATACCAGATCATATGTCCACCCAGTTCGTGCCCCTCCCGCCCGACATCAGCCGACATCAGCCGACATCAGCCATATCAGCCGACATCAGCCGACAATCAGCCGTCGGCACAGACGCATCGCACTCGCCATGCAGCGCATCTGCAGCTCATCCGTCTGTGCGCAGCACAACACACAAGGCATCTACACCTGTTCTCTCCATCGATCGACAAGTGCGTGTGGGGGGGAGGCCGATGGCATGAGGGGTGGCAGCATTGAGCACAGATGCATGGGCTGAGCAGAGGAGTGGCCAGGCGGGAGG